AACTCAGGATACGCCCAGAGTCACGGAACGCATTAAGTTCGTATCCCAAGGTACCACTGTAGTTTGATAAGCAAGTCTGGGAAGGCATTTGGCAGAATTCTGATTGAAAGGGCACAAGGAATGACAGTGAGAAAAATTTGGGAAGTGGAGTGAGGCTTTATGCCAGGCAGAGAGTGTGCAGATCAGATTTTTATTCTTAACTGAGAAATGTATGAATGTGAAAAAAAAAAATTGCATTTCTACTGATTTAGAAAAAGCATATAATTAAGTGAATAGAGTTGAATTACAGAGTGTTTTGAGTGAAGTTGGTTACTGAGTGCTGTAAGTGATATTTATTTAACAATTCTCTATATTTCTATATCATATATTAGACTCCTAGGTGTTAATAATATTATTATGAAAGTAAAGCATGGGTGAGAATCAATGGAATATTTTGCAAATAGATAAACGTTAAGCAGGGAGTAAAACAAGAATGGGCAATGTCCCCCTGATATGTTTGTTAAATGTATTTTTGGATAAAGTATAAAGAATGCTTGTGTCATACTAGAGGAGTATTAGTTGGGATGTGAATGTACGTGTACCTCTGCATATAAGTGAATTCATGTTGTTAGCTGAAAATCTGTAATATTTGCGGCAAATATTAGAAAATGCAGTGAGCTACATGATTCTGTAAAGTAATGCATCAAAGGCCATGCTAGTTGTCTTTAATAGGGAAAATGGAATGAATGATTTCAAGTTATACTTAATGGCAAAAAAGTAAACCAAAAGTAAAGCAAAAATTAAACTACAACTTGGGTAACAGTAAAATGTTTACTAAAGATTAGAAAATGAAGAAATGTTAAGATATGCAAATGCTAGTGCAGAGGCAGAGGGCAGTATGTAATCTGCGGTGAGGAGTGAATGTTTGTCAAAAGGAGTGAAAATAACTATAATAATAGTATATTATCAGAAAGTTGATATTTACCAAAATTTGAACCTATAGGATATGGGGAATAGTGGCATATTCCTTGCAGTATATTGCTCCATGTTAGCATTGAACTCAAACTAGTTCTTAAGAAACATAGTGAGTCCACCTTTTATGCCATAGCTTTCTCATAAATGAACAACACATGGTGTCAGAAGTGATGCTGAATTCTTCTGCAGCAGTGATGGATGCTAGAGACCAAGGTTTGGTAAAACCAAAAACAAACCTTTTAAAAAATGTTCTGTCGGTTTATTAAAAGGGGAGAATGTGAAGATGGTTTGGGTGTTATTTTATTCCAGGAATATGAGTCATGGCTGCCCATTGCATAGGCATCACTGACATACACTGACCCTCAAATGTATGTTCAGATAGGAAGAAAAAAAAAGACACCTGGATTGCGGTTTGGTGCAAACAACTTCATCTACATATGGAAGGAAATTTAAGGCAAAAACCAATCATCAACATACAGAAGAGAGGTCTAATTAACTCTCTATTCCAAATACAACAACTATTGGTGACACTTCAGTAGTATGACTTTGACCTCAGTTTTAACCTAAACAAAGATTTAATAATGGCAGATGCTCTATCTTGAGTATACCTCACAGATCAAATGGTGCATATCAAAGAGGACTGTAGTCCTGAAATTCATGTGAAAGGCACAAAGTGAAGACAACCTATGAGCCATCACGCGTGGCAACAAATCACAGAGGCCACTAAAGCAGACATCTTAAAAGAGGTTGTGAGGTAATTGAGGACATGTGCAGGAGCATGCAAGAATACTAAATTGTTAGTGGAAGAAATGTTTGAATGAAAACAGCCTACAGACAATCAAGCAGAACGTATTACTATTTTTAGAAAATAGCAAATGGGCATGCCACGAACCAAAGATTCCAGGCTATTATTGTATATCCTCTATATTTCCAAGAATGTGTTTAGACTTCTCATTTTCTAAGAAAAAAATATTTAAGAAATATATGCAGTCACCCATTTTAACTGGGTGGCTAATAAGTATTGGATGGTTCAACATAGGTATGTCTCTCAACAAAGCACTGGGGTTGGGCGGGGACACAAAAGTAACCTAGGATTACAGAGAACATCCTATGGGTTGTGGGCTGCAATCTTAATAAGTTCCATTCTAATAAATAGGTCTTTTTGTGACTTGTCATAGCCACATGGAAGCTATTTTGTGAATGTGCAATAGGAAACTTTTATGAGAGCACTTGCAGCAAGTTTACAAAATTCTTGCATGCCACTGGCCCTAAAAAGGTTCACTGCTCTTTCTGGGTGACAAAGATTATTCCTTCCATTTTAGAAAGATTGTCTATTTCTCATTAACAGACTTCAGTACTGCCCATTCTATACTAGTTGAGTTTCTCTTTATAATTTGTGATTTAAAAAAAAGCCATTCTAGTTCACCAGATATATACTACAGAGAAAGAACACTTGAAATAATCAATTATATTATGAGTATTGAACATTGTTCAGTGCAAGATATAAGCTAGATATTCTTGTTATATTATTGAGTGTTTGAAAATGTTTAATGTGAGTGATTGATATGTGGTCCAGACATTGCTACACTGTAGTTGGTGTTGCTAGTCTCATGTTTCTTTTCAACATGGGTGGAAGATTATGAGGGAGAAGGGCAGCAGCCTAAATATTCAGAAAAATTACAGTCCGTCATTGATAATAATTATGTGTATCTTAAGTGCAGGTTGAGTTAGAAAAGAGAATGTTAGGTATGTACATCAGAGTTAAGAAAGATCGGTCAAAAATTATGATACCTGCTCTGTGAAAAGACCTCAGTGTATCAAAATAAGAGGTGCCCAAGAGATTTAATACTTACCCAACTTGTATGTTTTTGTGAGGAGAAGAGTGGCTTGAAATGGTGAGGGACCTTGGCTCCTACCATACATATTCAAAATGGCCACATATGCCTTTTGGAACAATAGGAACTGATGACCTGACGGGCTCTTAAACTTTATTTTAAAAACTATCTCTTTTTTTCCCTTAGCCTATAATCCCAATGTATACACAAAATATTCGGGAAGGATTTAGGATCCTCGGACAAACAAGTAAGGCATACTTCTACTGAATATTTGAATTTGAAAATTATTTTGTTCTTCAATCTATATATCTGTGGTTTGCATACCATTTAGCTCAGGGATCCTCAAACTTTTTGAACAGGGGGCCAGTTCACGGTCCCTCAGAATGTTGGGGGGCCGGACTATAGTTTGAGGAGAGGAGGAGAGCCACTGT